GCCTGCACACATGTGCACACGGGAATACTCACATGTGTGTGTATGCCACAGCATGTGTCAGTCCAGGGACACGATCCAACCCCTTGGAGCTGCTGGATTGTCTCTCCTCCTGCTTTATTTACCTGCCACTGGCGATGCCCAGGTCAGGGCTAAACCCTGCACATCCCCTGCATGCAGGTGTGCTGCTGGGCGAGGTGGCACAGGTGTCTGGGCAGTGTGCACATGTGTGTGCCCCTCTGTGCACACAAGTACAAGGTTGTGCAGGTGTGCAGCCACTGTGCATCCACGAGCATTAGTGATGGCCGTGGCATCCATGCTGAGCACAGGGATGTGCAGCAGGTGTGCTCCTGGCATGCACATGAGCACGGTGTGCACACACAGGAACAGGTACAGGAACAGGTACAGGAACAGGTACAGGAACAGGAACAGGAACAGGTACAGGAACACATACAGGAACAGGTACAGGAACAGGTACAGGAACAGGTACAGGAACAGGTACAGGAACACACACAGGAACAGGTACAGGAACAGGTACAGGAACAGGTACAGGAACAGGTACAGGAACAGGTACAGGAACATGTACAGGAACAGGTACAGGAACATGTACAGGAACACACACAGGAACAGGTACAGGAACATGTACAGGAACATGTACAGGAACAGACACAGGAACAGGTACAGGAACAGGTACAGGAACAGGTACAGGAACATGTACAGGAACAGGTACAGGAACACATACAGGAACAGGTACAGGAACAGGTACAGGAACATGTACAGGAACAGGAACAGGAACATGTACAGGAACACATACAGGAACAGGTACAGGAACATGTACAGGAACAGGTACAGGAACAGGTACAGGAACATGTACAGGAACAGGTACAGGAACAGGTACAGGAACACACACAGGAACATGTACAGGAACAGGTACAGGAACAGGTACAGGTACACGTACAGGAACATGTACAGGAACACGTACTGACACACACAGTGCCTGCCCTGGGAGATGTGCCATGAGCTTTTTGTGGGGTGCGTGTGCTTCAGTGTGGGTATGGCATTAATTTTTCCAGCTTTTCCCCTGCCAGACCCGGTTTTTCCCGGCCCCTGTGTGTTGATAGGTGTTCCTGTGCATGTACACGCGTGCTCCTGAGCGCATGGCAGAGCCCTGCCGTGTCCCTCTCCTGTTTCTCAGCTGTGCCCGTGCCCATCTGTGGCTGTGAGCTGTGCTGCCCGCCTGGCCATCGCTGCAGGGCCTTGGCCCGGCTGGCTGCAGGCCCAGCCGTGGCTCCGTGTGTGGCTGTGGGGCTGCGGCCAGGTGTGTCCTGTGTCCTGTGTCCTGTGTCCTGTGTCCTGTGTCCTGGGGTGACACAGGGAGCGCTCCCCGACCGCGCTGGGGCTGCCGCACGGGATGCGAGTCCAGACACCCGCCTGCCTCCGTCTGCCCAGAGAGGGAAGATGGAGAAGGTACCGCACGGTGCCAGGCGTTTTTTCTTCATAAACAAGGGTATTTGGGGCCAATTGGAGCATGAATAATTCCCGCGGCAGCCAATGGCTGAGTGCTGGCTCCATCGCGGCGCTCGCCTGCAATGGAGGCCAAGGCTGCCGAGGGGGAAGGGCGAGGGAGGGCTTAGCGCAGGGCTGGGGCTCCGCTATAAATCCAGGCGAGGGGCTGAGCCAGCGCACAGCTCAGCTGAGCCCTGGCTGCTGCATTACCGTGCCCCACAGCGGGACCTCCTGCTTGGCCCACACTGCCTGAGCATCCTCGTCCGCCCAGTTCCTCAGCATGCCGGAGTGCTGGGATGGGGTAGGTACCGCCGTTCCCGTGCTCGCTCCCCTCCCTCCCTCCCTCTCCAGGTGTTTTGCCCCAGCGTCTCTCCCGCTTGCCCAGGCTGGGCCTTTGCACCAGCAGGGCTCGGTGTGGGTCAGGCAGGCAGTGGGGCAAGGAGGACCCACTGCTGGGGTGCCCTTCCTTCTCCCAGCCCTGCTGCCGCATCCCTGATGTGCTGCAGGTTTTGGGGACGCATTGTCCTTGAGCGTGTCCTCCCCGAGCCCGGCAGAGATGCTGTGCCGAGGCTGAGGGTGAGCAGCTGTGGCCCGTGCTGGGGTTGTGTGCTGTCGGGGGCACACTGCCCCTTACCCACCCCCTGAGCTCAGAGGGAGAGGGTCAATGGCTGTTTTGAAGCAGCCCCTCAGTTGCTTTCTGGCCTCTGCGGTGATGGCAACACCCGATGGCAACAGGCTGGTGCACAGGGGGTGAGTGAGGTGGGAGCACTGCAGCGGTGAGCAGGTAGCCTGGACATGGATGGGCTCTGTCAGACACCTATGGGTGCTGAGACCCCCATGCTCCTCCTTGCTGGGGCTGTGGGTTGTCTTTGCCCCGCTCTCCTTGCTGCCTGCATCCCCTGCATCTCCTGCATCCCAAGCCTCTTCCTCCAGTGAGCATCCCTGCGGCAAAGGGCAGGGCTGTGGTACTCAGTGGTGCTGCAGAGGCTGCACCACGGGCAGGATGTGCCTGGCCTTGTGGCGGCCTGGGGGCAGGAAGAAGCAGTGCTGAGGATGGATCTGCTACCTTGGGCAGGTGATTTTGGGGTAGGATTGAAAGCTGAGCTGTTGGGGCTGTGATGGGGACCATGGGGTTGGTGATGGCAAGGAGGCAGCCCTGTGCCCAAGACCAGACCACATAGATGCCTCCTGCTCCATGACCTTGGGCCAGGCCATTCCTCTGCCTCAGTGTCCCAATCTGTTGTTGTAGAGGGAAGTCACTGCTCATGGACTTCTGCCTGATGCAGCTGCAGGGGTGGAGGGACAGCTGTGCATGAGGGCTGGGGTCAGGGTGCCCTTGGAAGCCAATAGATGTCTCCACAGAGCCCTGAATCTGCTTTTGGCCACTGTGTTCTCCCAGGGACAGCAGGGCTCAGTGAGGGGAGGCACTGCAGTGAGGAGACCCTGTCCCCAGGCGGTTCCTCCCACCCAGGCCCGTGTCCTTCAGAGTCCTTGGTGGCGTGTAACCCGCGTGAGCATCCACGTACCTGCTCCCCTCCCACCAGCCCAGCCATGGGGCTGCCAGTGCCAGCAGTGAAGACGGTGATGTTTGGGCACCCTGCCATCATCCCCTGCCCTGCCCTGCTCAGCACATGATGCTCCTGCACCCAGCAGATCCCAGCCTTGAGGTCACTGCTGCTGGAGTGGCTGGCAGGCATGGGCATCTGGAGGGGACCTCTGGTCCCTTGTCCTTGGGGAGCACCCGGGCTCAGTTTCCTGTGCTGGTGGGGAGCAAGGGCCAGGATGTGGAAGGAAAGGAGCCCTCCTGGACAGGGAAACTGAGGTAGGGGGTAGTTTTTGTCTCTGTGTGGGGGCACTGCCGTTTCAGACCAGGGGTTTTGAAGTTTACACTTAACACTTTAGCTGTAATTTTGGGATCAGGTTGCAGCATTTCCTGGAGTGCTGTCCAGGGTCTGACCTCTGCCTGTTTGTCCCAGATACATTGAAACTGCACCTAACTGGGCCATTCTGTGAACCTCTACCCTGTTGCCAAAATTTTCTCAGTCACAGGCCTTTGAAGATCTCCTCTCCTGTCCTGTGGTCCACCTGTCCCATCTTATTATCCTTCTCTCTCAAGCCCTCTTGGATCCATCCCTTGATACCATGTCCAATGCTACATCCTACAATCCTATCCAAAGTCTTCCCTTCCCTTCCCTTCCCTTCCCTTCCCTTCCCTTCCCTTCCCTTCCCTTCCCTTCCCTTCCCTCTTGTCCTGCTTTCTACCCCCTCTGGGATGCCTGGAGCTTTTTTTTCCCTGGGACAGCTGCTCCTCTTTCCCATGTCTTCCCACGGGACCCAGCCATTTGGGGAAGCAGCAGTGAGGGGTGTGGTGGCAGGGCAGGAGAGGATGAAATGATGTCTTAGGGCAGGTGGACATCACCCCATCTCTCCTCCTCCCCAGGAACACGACATTGAGACCCCCTACGGGCTGCTGCACGTGGTCATCCGGGGCTCTCCCAAGGGGAACCGCCCGGCCATCCTGACATACCACGATGTGGGCCTCAACCGTGAGTGCTGCTCCTGGGCTGGGGGTGCAGGGCAGGCAGGGGTGACCCGAGGCTCCATGGGGACATCACCCCTGGCTCAGCTCCTTTGCCTCCACCCATGGCTGCACTGGGTGCCCCCAGGCATCTGAAAGCACCAGGGGAGTTTGGATACCCAGCTGGACACAAAGCCCAGACCAGGCACAGCCAGGAGTGCTTGGCCACCCCGTGCTGGCTGCCTGCCCACACCAGGCAGGGATGGGACATGGGGGATGCTGGGCTGGTCCTCGCTGCTGCCGCCAGCCCGTTGGTATTCAGAGCATGGACCCAGCTGGGAGCAGGGCATAGTGGGGGACAAAAGAGACTGGGAATTGCAGGGAAGGAGAGATGCCAAGCTGGAGCTCTGATGTGGAGATGCTGCACTTTCTGTCAGCCTGCAGCCCTAGACCTGTACCCCAGAGCCCTGTCCTGAGCTGTGCCCTCCAGCTAAGCCAGGATGCCCAATTCCCTGTGAGTGGGGAGAAGCATCTCCCGCTCCGCTGGTGGCTGAGGCTGAGTCACTGACATGCTACATGAGCTGTGTCACCATTGCAGCAGCTCTGGCTGTTCAGGTACACGTCATGCTGGCTGCAATGGGCCTTACAACCTGCCTCACCCCGCATTTTGGGAAGGATGTCACAGCACTGATGCCACGGGACAGGACCCCACCAAGCTCCAGCAGCATCTGTATCCCACTGCAATGGTGGGGTATTGTCCACGATAGCACTGGGGTTGTTTCTTTGACTCTTTCCAAGCAGCAAGATTTGCAGCTGTTCCTCAAATCATGTGTTTGCTTGAGCCCTTTCTGGGGATTTTGGACGGGGATAATGCCCCAGGCTATAAATCCTGCTGCCCACTGGGTGGTCTTGCAGTCTTGAGCTCTGCATCCTTCTGAGGCTCACCCCAAACTCCTCATTCTCCTGGCTGTGTCTGTCCATCCCCATGCCTCCTGACACCTGGAGGGATGCAGCCCTTGCTAACAGGAGCTGTGGTCTCTGCTGTGCGGACATGGAGCCTGGAGGGAAGGGGATGGGATGGTTTTGTTGGCATGTTACCTCATGGTTGAAGGGCAGTGGGAGGGTGCTGTCCATGCTCCCCTGGCCCACCAGGCCCCAGTGTCGGGGTGTTTGGTCTCTGATACCCACCTGCCCTTTGACAGACAAGCTTTGTTTCAACACCTTCTTCAACTACGAGGACATGCAGGAGATCACGAAGCACTTTGTGGTGTGCCACGTGGACGCGCCGGGCCAGCAGGCAGGAGCCTCGCAGTTCCCTCAGGGGTAGGTGCCAGCTGCAGGGGCTCACTGTGCCTGCTGGGGTGTCACCTCCCTGCCCCACGGGTTGTTGCTGCCTGGCAGTTGTGCCCTGCCTGTGGGTTTTTCCAAACCATGCCAAAGCCTGTGGCAGATGACTGACCCAGGGTGGGCAATAGGGTGGTTTGCAGGTGGGTCGCATTTCCCTGCCCATTTCAGGCAGCCCAGCTGCCCTGTCACAGATGCTCTGCTCTGAACAGGTTCCATAACCACCATCCTGTGCCTCCCTGTGCCACAGGTACCAGTATCCATCCATGGACCAGCTGGCTGCCATGTTACCCAGCGTGGTGCAGCATTTTGGGTGAGTCAGCCTGTCTTCCATGGCTGCTGGCTGAGGATCCTGGGCAGGGAGATGGACAGAAGACAAGGATTTGGGGCTGGGGGAGTTGTCTCTGTAAGCTGGCATCTGGCAAGTCTTCTTGCTATGGGTGGAGGGGTGTCCCAGGGAACGTGTTGGAGCCCACTGTCCCCTCATATGGACCTCTCCATATTTCCAGGTTCAAGTATGTGATTGGGATCGGTGTTGGGGCAGGAGCCTACGTCCTGGCCAAGTTTGCGGTGAGCCTGGGGCTGTGATGGGCTGGCTTTGAGTTGCTTGTACCTGCTGTCAGTCCAGGGCATGGGGAAGAGCAGGGGCTGATACCTCCAGGCAGTCTCTCTTGCTGCAAAGGCTCTTGGAGGGTTGGGGTCCCAGGGCAGCAGTGCCAAGGCCACAGTGGCTGGGCAGTCTTGCCACAGGTGCCACATTGCTCCCAAAATAGGGTCACATCAGCTCCATGCAATGCCTGTGCAGTGGCTCTGGTGGGGGGCTGCCCAGGGCACATCTCCCCTGCCTTCTGAGCCTCTCCCCTCTTGCTCACTGCAGCTCATCTTCCCTGACCTGGTCGAAGGGCTGGTCCTTATGAACATCGACCCCAACGGCAAAGGCTGGATTGACTGGGCAGCTGCCAAGGTGGGCAGGGCCCTGACCCCTCTTCCTGGTCCTGGCAGCTTCCTGGGGCAGGAGGCAGCCAGGGCAGTGCATTAACTCCCTGTGCTCCCTCCACAGCTCTCTGGCCTCACCAGCACGCTGCCAGACATTGTTCTGTCCCACCTGTTCAGTCAGGTAAGGGCTGTGCATCCTCTGGGCCCCTGCCACCAGCCCCCAGCCCAGCATCCCAGCTGGGTCACCCTGCCAGGTGCCAGAGTGCCACTGGACCTGTCCCATGGGCAGCATTGGGGTTTGTCAAGCCCTGCCTGGTCTGAGGCTTAACCTTGATGAGTGTGTGACTCGTGCCCATGTCCTGCCTGGGTGTGCTCCCTGCAGCACCACTGTGCCCAGCTGCATTGCCCAGCATCCTCCTCCTCTGTGCTGGCTGGCATGGCATGGGCAGGACTGGGGGAGCAGGGTGTCTCCCCAGCATCTGCCCTCATCTCCATCCCCTGCTGGCACAGGAAGAGCTGATGAACAACACGGAGCTGGTGCAGAGTTACCGGCAGCAGATCGGCAGTGTGGTGAACCAGTTCAACCTCCAGCTCTTCCTCAACATGTACAACGGGTGAGTGCTCCAGGCAGCCCTGCTCCTGAGCCCCGTCCTGTCTGTGCTAGTGCGAGGGGCTGCAGTACTGGTGGGTGGCTCTGAGGTCACTGTGGGAACCCAGACCCCTGTTGGGTGCTGTTATCACCCTCACTGTGCAAACTTACCTGCCACTGTTGGCCGGGAATATGGGAGAGGTGGTACCTGAGCCAGAGCCTTGCCATGTCCCAGGGCACACCAGCATGGGTACACATTCCCACGTGTCCTCCTGCACTGGGTGCTGGCACAGGTCTGGGAAACGGGGCAGAGATGCTGTCCCATGCATGCAAGGGGTTGGGAGCCCTGCCGCTCTGCTGGGTGCTGCATTCTGTTCCATGGGTTCTGCTTGGGCCAAGGAAGAGGTGGCCATGGCATCCTCCATGCACAAGGTGCCAGCACAGTCTGGCTGGGTGTGGCTTCTTGGGGCTGACAGTGGCCTGAATCTTGTGCTGTGGCATCGATGGTGGCATTTGCCCATGGGCTCACACTGGCTTTCTTTCTCCTCCATCAGCCGCAGGGATCTGGACATCAACCGGCCTGGGACTGTGCCCAATGCCAAGACGCTGCGGTAAGAGTCGTGCTTACCACTTGGAGGGGTCTCGGGGCAGTAGAATTCACTCAGACCAAACCCTGACCAGGCCCCTTTCTCCTCTCACTTCCAGCTGCCCCGTGATGCTGGTGGTCGGAGACAACGCGCCTGCTGAGGAGGGGGTGGTGAGTGATGGGGCAGTGCCTGCAGGGTGGCAGGCGGGCGGTGCCCACGCACGGGCACGCACATGTTCACTGCCTGCTCAGACACACAGCAGATCCTGGGAGTGGGAGTGTGCTCGTGTGCAGACCCGCCTGCTGGTGTGGGCACCTGTGCACATGCAGCTGCGTGTGGCTGCCACACCCGGGGAACTTCCCCTTCTTCATGTGCCCAGATGTGCTCCCACTGTGCACGCTCGGATGTGTCGGCACACGGGCACAGCCCCTGTGGCCATGTGCAGCCACACAGCTGCTGGCACACTTGTGTGCATGTACATACATGTGTGTGACACAGAACGCCTCACCAGCCCCCCTCACCTCCTGCTCCAGTCCCCACACTTGCCCAGATAGGAGGAAAGTCCCCTCTGTCCTGTGGGAGGGGATGGTGGTCCTGCGGGCTCAGGGCTCACCTAGTGTCCTGCCTGCTGCTGGCTGGGGTGGGATTTGCCAGCTGGAATGCCAGTGGTGGTACATGTGGACAACTTCTGCTTGGCTCCTGGCTTCCTAGGCTGCTAATATCATCTCTCCTGCCCACAGGTGGAGTGTAACTCCAAGCTGGATCCCACCAACACCACATTCCTGAAGGTAGGCTGGTGGCAGGGGGCAGCAGGAAGGTCCCTGCTGCCTATGAAGTGCCCCATTGCTGTCTGCCCCAGGGCTGCAGGGTGTCCCCATCTCCCCATTCCATGTCCATCATGGCCCTTGGAGCTGGGGGTGTATGGGGAGAGCAGGGTGACCTCAGAAGTGACATGCTGCCAGCAGCTGCTGGGGGATGGTGGGCAGTACAGGCACCCCCCCACACTAAGCACGACCTTCTCTTTGCAGATGGCTGACTCTGGTGGGCTGCCCCAGGTCACGCAGGTAAGCCCTCAAAATTTCCCCAGTTACCTGGGCATACTGGGCCCTGAGACATGCACTGGTGCTGCCCTTGGCTAGCTGGGGATGGGCTGATGACGGCACAGGGGTCTCACACTGGGGCTGCCAGAAGGTGCTTGGGGCTGAGAGGGGATCTCAGCTCAGTGCTGTCTCAGCACTAAGCACTTAAGCTCAGCTCACCCTGCTCTCTCCCTACAGCCAGGCAAGCTGACTGAAGCCTTCAAGTACTTCCTGCAAGGCATGGGCTACAGTGAGTGCTGGGGCTGGGTGTGGGGCTGGTGCAGGGCTGTGTGTGCTGGTGTGTACGTGTGCTGACCTGCTGCAGGTCTGTCTGTCCGTGTGTCCACAGAGGCATGGGGTGTACAGGCTCTGTGTGCACGCAGATGTGTGTGCAAGGGTTCTGTGTGTACATATGTGTGTGTCTGGCTCCCTGTGTAGGTGTGCACTTGTGTGTGTGTGGGCATGCACGAGCAGGGGCTGTGTGTGTGCAACAAAGACAAGCAGAGCCCGTGTGCAGCAGTCTGTGCATATGTGTGCACAGTTTATGACCACATGTGTGTGTGTTTATACCTGTATGTGCACACATGTGAAAGTCCCCATGCACGTGTGTGTGTGTGTGTGTGTGTTTGCAGGTCTGTTGCACATATGTGTGTGTGTGTGTGTGCTGTTAGTGTGCACAGGGACAGCTCCGTGTGCAGGCACGTGGGCTGGGCAGGGGCTCCTGGCCCAGCGGAGCGGCCGACAGGGCTGACACTCTCTCTCTGCCCTCCCTGCCCTTCTCCCACCCCTGCCAGTCACCCACCTGAAGGATCGGAGGCTGAGTGGAGGCACAGGTACTACTCAGTGCCCGCTGCTGCATGGTGCCTGCCTGGCCTGTGCCCTCGAGCTGCCTGGGCACCTTTGGGAGCAGCCTGGGTGCAGGACTGGCCCTTCCCAGCCGAATGCCCACTGCCTCGCTCCGCTTTGCCTGAGATGGCACCCTGAGCCAGGGCTGGGGGCTGAGAAATGGCATTCAGAGGGTTCCTCCTCCATGCAGGCACAGTCTTGCACACTCTGGGTAGGCCAGGAGCTGTGCCCACCAGCCGTGCTGGCTGGGGGAGGGTGTCACTTTCCCTGCACACCCTGGGCAGCCAGGGAAGCTCTGATTCCAGCTCACTCCTTTCCTGGAGCATGGTAGTCAGGGCTCTCCACTGCCTGATGCCCAGAAGTTGCATGCCCAGGAGTGAGCCCGGTGTTCAGCCTGCCCCAGAGAACCCCTGCCCTGCTGTCCCTTGCCAGCCTGGAGCTGCTCATGTTGTCACAGCACCGCTTGCTGCAAGCTTGTGCCCAGGCTCAATCGCATCAGGGAGCAGGGCTGGTGGCAATGTTGGCTCAGCTCTCTCAGGTTTTCAGAGAGATCTGAGCACCTTGGCCGTCTCTCTGTGCCCGTGCAGTGCCATCTGCCAGCATGACCCGCCTGGCACGCTCCCGCACGGCCTCCCTCACCAGCGCCAGCTCCGTGGATGGCACCCGCCCACGTGCCTGCACCCACTCGGAGAGCACCGAGGCCATGGGGCAGATCAACCACACCATGGAGGTATCGTGCTGAGGTCCACGCCCGCCGCCGACGTCTCCTTCAGAGCCATCTCCCATCCGTCAGCATCCCGCCAGCACCCACCCGCCCCGTGGACATCCTCCACCAGGGCCCTCGCTTCTTCGGGGTCAATTCGTCTTCTTTGCCTTGGCCTCATCCCCTTGTCTGGTACAGGAGAAGGAGAGGGGCTTTGTCCAGCTGTCACACATGGTTCTGCATTGGTCCTCACCCTCCCTAGCATCGGCTTGGCCCTGGCTTGGGAGGG